GCCTGGTGACTTGTTGCTTTCAAATAGCTGAAGACTCTTGTAACACTTGTCAACTGTTAATTTTCCATCACAGGTTCGAGCCTCATTATTAGTGAGTTTCGGGATTCCAGAATTGTTCAAAAAAAAGAGTTTATCATTTCCTCTGATGGTCTGACAGGATCATGTTTACAGAGACTCGAATAAAAATTGTCAATCTCCTACAGAATTTTTTTTAGGATTTGTGATTATCACTCCTTCATTGTTAAAAACCTTGCAAACAGAGCTTTTAGCTTATGTGTTTCTAGGTTTAAAAAAATACTTGCTTTTTTTTGCCTTTTTTTGTACCAAGTGGCTTTTGATGGGATAATGGCACCTTTTGCGATCTGCTCGTAGATAGAATCATATTCCATTTTCAAAAACTTTCTTTTCAGATCCTTAGAGAGGTCTCAATATCAGATATTTCTTTTCTTGTTTATGCACTTATTCTTTGCTGTATTTTATTGAAACTTGTCTAATCCTGTACTTGATTAAATCCCACAAGTCTTTTATCTGTAACTTTGTTGAATTCATTTAACCACAGAGGTACACTTTTATTTATCAATGTAACAAAATTGTCATCGGTTAGACTAGAATACATTCAAACTTCTTAACATAAAATTCCAATCAAGACTATCAAAAGCTTTCTCAAAATCAATAAATAGTAATATCCCTGGTATATTTTGCTTTTTTGTGTAATCCATGACATCGAAGATCAATCTTGCTGCTTCCCCAATAAGTCTAGCTTTGACATACCCTGTTTGGGTGTAGTTGATTATTTTAGGTAAAACTGGGATAATTCTAGCTGCACTTACTTTAGATGCTATCTTTGCGTCTACATTAGTTAAAGATGTTGGTCTCCAATTTTCTAAAAAACTCCTGTCTTTCCCTTTCTTGTCGATAAGAGTGATAATGGCTTGCTTTTGCAAAGAAAACATCCTTTTGTTATCATACGCCTCATTGAACGAATCAATCATAAAAACTCCGATGAGTGGCCAAAATATTTTGTAAAATTCTATTGGAATATCGTCATTGCCTGGAGTTTCACCTGTTTGAAAAGACCCTAGAATTTTGTGCATTCATCAATAGTGATATTACCTTCACAACTTGCCCTCAATTCTTCAGGAAGTTTCAAAACACTAGGATTTTCCAGAAAGTGCTTAGCCTCAACACTGTTCTGATTTGTTTGTTGTCTTTCATACAGTTTACTGTAAAACGATTTTTGAGTGTTCATTATTTGAAAAGGATATGTTGAAATCGTTCCACTAATATACAGCTTACGCATGTCCTTTTTGATATGATTACACTTTTCTAAGTTAATACCTGCTGTTCTTCTCACTATGCTCATGCCAACGTGCTCTAGAGAGAACAATTATCCCCTCCACTTTCTCGTCTTGCAGTGATTCAATTTCACTTTTAAGTTTAACAATTTCCAGTTTTCCAAATTTGAAGGGTTTTGCTGAAATTTATTTAATGCCTCTTAATATTTGAAATTGAGTTCCTTCTCCCACTTTTGACGATCCCGGGTCATTTTCTTTCAAAAAGTAATTGGACTTATCTTAATTTTAAATTTTAACCAGTCCCATTTTATCCTGTTATTTGACAGATCTTTCCCGTCTTCCATCCAATTAGGGAATGATTTGTAATCATCTCCACATTTTCTGGTCTAGTTAGTAGAGGTATTTAATTTCCAGAAACCTGGTCCTTTGCAACTCACTTCAATTTCCTTAAGCTCCAGCATTATGGCAGAGTGATCAGTTTTTATCAAAGCTGAAATGTGACCGTGAAAGGGAAAACGTACCTTAATGCTTATCCATTAAACAGTCGCTAACAGACGGATAGTTAACAGATAGTTAGCAGCCTTCACAGCATTCTAACGTTTTGTCCTAACATTGCAATGGTTATCTAATTGTGCCTAACAGATGATCAAAGTGTTCTAACGCTTTCTCCTAACATTCTAACGGCTAACGAAGTATGCCTAACAGATGAAGAAAATGTTCTAATGGTTGCTTAATTTGTTCTAATGGATGACTGGAGCCGTTTAACAGTTGTCTAACAGTCTACATCCGAGGACATTTAACGGTTGTCTCATGGTTTGCATCTAAGGCCTTTTAACGAATGAATGGCATACCTTCCAGTTTGATGTTATAAACACATAATCGTGCCAAAGCATTATTAGTCTTACATTCATGATTTAACAAACAAACAAATCACAAACTGCCAATTTCGTCAGTCGTCAATGAGACGAACATTAAAAGAATTATTTCCACAGTGAGCATTGACAGCATGAACTATCACTTCCTCATCAAGACAGATAAACTCAGAATTCGAGTCCTTTATTATCGTGCGGGCTGCGAACCTAATGTTGTTAAACCTGCGTGTCAGGGTGAACATTTTTTATTGTTTTACTCAAATTGATTTGTCGCTAGCACTTATTTTTGCACAATGACTTTGTCTAGGTTTTTCTCAAAAGTAACTGTGTTATCCAGCTGTGGATTTGTGAAAGATTACGCTTTCTTGACAGAGCATGCGAAGTGGTACCTTTTGAAGTCACGACGCTAGTCTCAAAGCGACGGGCATTTTGTTGCCGCTGGTTTCATCAGATAAAGTTGTTTTTGTCACATACATGTAGTTTAAAATTTGTTTCTTCTGATTCAGAGTCAGACAACAGTCTATCAAAATATTCACCAAACTTTCTGCTGGAATATGGCCGTTTCTCACATCTTGGAAGATGTAAACAACTCTATGCAAATTTTTGAACCCTCACTTTGTGAATTGAAGTTGTTGACATGTGATCACTGTGTACTTTGCAGAACATCTTTATTCATTGCATGGCCATTTTGATTGAGTTTTCTCTGTGTTTGTTTCGTCCGTTCATGGCAGTTGTAAGGTATTTTTAACTTTCGTTGGTTCACGAATTACAGTAAAAGGTTACAAGCTCTTGAAAGAACCAGACTTTGCCGAATAACTTAAACAGTTCGTATAATGACAATTGTTGTTATGGTTTTACATGTCGTTTCTGTTTTCAAAAGCTGCAAACAGGTTTTGTTTTGGATCGTATATAATAATTATAGTATGAAAGCTTTATTGAATTTCATTCGAGTTGTATTTATCAATCATCAGGGCATCAAAAAAAATAATCCCCAAGAGCTGCTCTCATTTCACACTGTGTTAGGCTACCACATTCTACTTCAACGTGTGTCATGCCATTCTAACGGAATCGTTACCTGTTTAGTGGATGCTAGTTTATTCTAACGGATCCTAACGACTTCTCCAGCCATGCTAACAGATGCTCTCGGTTAAAGTCATCCTAACAACTATCAGATACATGTCTCTTGCTAACGGTTGCACTCTCCATTCTAATGGCCTGATGCTAACATCTAACCGCTGAGCTAATGCCTCTACTGTTTTTAAAAAAACTTTCTAAAAGATGACTAACATATGGCTTTTGCCCATCCAACGGATAAGCGCGAAGGTATGTTTTTCAGTGTGAAGCTTTGGAGCCGAATGGCTCATAACCCCTGGAGCTTATCTTGGTTTCTGTAGCATGAAGCAGCTAGGAGTATTTCTACTCCCCCTGGACAAGATGCTAGTCCATCCAGGTCAGTCCCCTACAATTTGTTAGGTTTCCCCAACAATTCGCCATTACCCATTTATACTCCTGGGTGGAGAGAGGCACTATGAGAGTTAAGTGTCTTGCCCAAGAACACAACACCATGTCCCCGGCCAGGGTTTGAGCCCAGACCACTTGCTCTGGGGACGAGCACACTAACCATGAGGCCACCGCACCTCCCACGATGTTTTCCCATACACGGTCACAAATGTCAACCTGTGAGACTAAATCAGGTAAATTATCTAAGGTCAACCAGTAATCAAGCCTACAAAATATTAAAGGGGAGCTTTTGCTCCAAGTGAAACTGAGAGTAGTAGGGTTTTTAATACATCAAATGTCATGGAGACCGAATTCATTTTGAATATTTTCAATTGAGTTAACCAGTTGACACCTGTGCCTGCCGTAACCGGCCGTGTGAAAACCACCCCCCAAATGCATGTGCCAGCCGTAACTGGCCATAAAAAAGCACATGAGGACAATTGCCTTTCCTACCCTCCCTGAAGACTGTTTGGTTCTCCTATTGTTGTTAAGGACAAATAAACCAATGAGAGTCGACTTTCTGAGCACATTTTTAGAGGAGTTTAGGGGTCCTAGAAAGAAGGTTTTCTGTCTTAAAATGATGCGCTCGAAAAGTGCAGGTAATCATGCCAAATCTAAAAACTTCCAGGGTCTTGTTTTTGTTGCTAAAGCTGGGAAATTAATTCTTTGGGACTTAAAATGGAAAGGAAAAAACAAATAAATGTTTAGGTGGCCTCATAATGGAAGATCAAGGTGTACAGAGTCATCAAACCTTTCTGGTGAAGAATTTTTCTTTCCTTCAGCCTCTGCAAAAACATGACAATTGGTGCACTTTCAAGTGAGTTTTGAATACAGATCATGGATTTAAAGCAGCTTTCTGGACTTTAGAACATTACTTTTGGAACGACTGATAAAGTCACAAGTGATAATATAACTGCAAAACTCATCGGCAAAAACTAAAGCTTTCACTTTCGCATGAAGAATTAATTTGAACATGCTGTCGTGCAGCAAAGCACGTCTGTGAAATTTTGAACATTTTCTTGCTTTCAGGTTTTTTTTGCCCTATCTTAAGTGAAAATTTATTGTTATCGAAGTTCCTGTCAAGTTTCTTTCATTTGGCTGCTTTTATTTGGGAATTTTAGGTTTTAAAAGTGAATAGTATTTTTGCACGCTGGATTTCTGCATATTTAATTCATGGTGACCTCCACGGTTTGTTTGTTCAGTTTATTTGCTTCTTTCAAATATGTGTTTTAGTCTTATTCAGCTACTACAGAACTCCTGAGAAAAGATCTCAGTGGGCACTAATTTAATTCAATTGAAATACGATTTATCTCAAAATAATTGGCTTTTTTGTCCTCTTTTTGACCTACAACTTTCATTTTTCTTTTGCAGCGCTGTAATATTCCGTTGCGCAGCGAAGAATTTATTTATTTCTTGGTTTCAGATTGATTTTAACATGTGTCTTTTGCTTTTATTTTTTGTCATTTTTGCAAATGTTAGCTGTTATAGAGAAAGAATACAAATTTTGTTGTATTTGGTTTCGTTTTGTCCTCCAAAGTCAATAATAAACTCATTTTTGCATATTCAATTTTCTCGGCTTCTGTGGAACATTTCGTTGTGCAGTAAAGAAATAATGTAATTTCTTGTTTTCACATCAGTTTTACACATCAAATTGAGTTCTCTTTGTTGATATCTTTTAATATTTTGTGTGGCTGCAGTTCAGCCAGATTGTGTATCAGCAGACATTCTTCAAGTGCTAGGTAACCGCTCACTAGTCATGCTTTCTGCCATTTTGTGTTTTTGCATCACGTGGTGCTTAGATGTAAACAAAATCGTTTTCCATCGGATCGTATCATGTGTTACCGAAGACCTAAACAGTGAGAAACAGTTTTTTGTATCTTTTGCGAATTGTTGTTAGTCTTTTTCTTGGCGATGTGTTAGTATATAAGTTTATTTCTTTTCATTTTTGTCATCCAGATTGTTATCTCGGGTAAATCGTACATCCATGTAATTCAGTGTTAAGGAAGCAAATTGTATGCCGAGCAGTACTCACTACCTGTGAATAAACGTCATTTTGGGTTTGAAACTCCTCTGGTGAAGTTACCTAGAAGCAGCCACAATAACAATCGTTAACACTGCCGAAATGTCCGGCAGGGATGATACGAGTTTCGGAGGAGATCCACACATACCACCAGCAAGTAACAACGAGAAAGTTCTCGATGGTCCACATGAAGAAGATGTAAGGAGGCGTCCCATGACGACGAAAGGTTGCCATTACGTAATGGTTGTGAAGAAAGGTAATTTGAAGGCAAAGAGGAGTGAGCTGGTGAAGCGAATGAGAGCTACACTACTGCAAAGAGGTCAGTCAGTTGAACTTTCTAAATTTAAGAAAGGGTTAAGCGAGGCGCAAGTTATCTATGCCGAATTTAAAGATATTGTTGGTGGAATTAAGGAGTTTGTTATTCCTGGTGAAAGTTTGGACGAGATTGAAGGAGTCATACAAGAAACCGAACAAGAGTGGTCAAGCTTTGAAGCAGACATCAAAGCAGAAATTAAACATCTAGAAATTGTTGAGCATCAGAAAATCGAGTCTAGATCTGTTGCATGGAGCTCCAAGAGCTCAAGTCGTGTCTCTTCAAAAGATAAAGACAGCCTCGAATCTAAACGCAGTTCCACCAGCAGTGTCAAGACTGAAAAGTTTAAATTGCGAAAAGAAGAAGCTGCCTTAAAGGCCAAGTTGGCTTTTGCAGAGGAAGAGCGAAAGTTGAAGGTTGAACAAAAGAGGGTTGAGTTAATGAAATTAGAACAAGAGCAAAAGTTGGAGGAACTGAGATTGAAAAGTGAACTTGCTCAAAATCAAGCTAAGCTTAATGTTTGCCTAACGGAAGAAAGGGAAGAAATGATTGACCTTGAACAGAACCTGGACTTAGTTGCTCCAGTCGATAAAGATAAGGATATGGAAAATTTCCTCAAATCTATTCCAGTTGTTGGTGACATTGGACAGACTCCTGTTCATCAGGATCCAATTTACACTGTGTCTCAAGTAGATGGGGCTCAGACAACACCAAGTCCCCAAAGGTGTAGTGCACTATGCCCCCAAGCAGCAACCTTCACACCAGGCAGTAGTATCTTAGAGAAATGCATGGATAAACTAGTGGAAACGAGTAGCAAATTAGTGGCCGCCACTGTAGAACAGAACCAAGTGAACAGGCAATTAGCTATCTCAGGTCAGCTGCCTAAGATTTCAATTCCAGTCTTTAATGGAGATCCCCTTCAGTATCCTGCCTGGAACAGTTCCTTTAGTACCCTTATTGATTGTAAACCCATGGATGCTCAAGCAAAATTGAACTTCCTAAATCAATACCTCTCAGGAAAACCCAAACAAGTTGTTGACCAGTACCTGTTGATTGGAACTGATGAGGCTTATCAGTCTGCTAGGAAATTGCTGAAAGAAAGATATGGTAATTGCAATGTTGTTGGCTCAGCTTTCCTAAACAAGTTACAAAATTGGCCAAAAGTTGGTATCAAGGATGCAGAGACTCTAAGGGATCTTTCTGACTTCCTTGAAAAAATAAAAGCTGCCAGAGAAACTACTCCTAGTCTTGAAGTGTTAGACTTTGCCAGAGAAAATGTTAAGATTCTGTCAAAGCTGCCTGTCCAACTCCAAAGTAAATGGCGAGGAATTGTGAAGAAGTGTAGAGCAGAGAAGGGAGATGGAGCCTATCCAACTTTCACTGAGTTTGCGGCATTTGTGAAAGATTGTGCTGAGAAAGCAAACATACCTGAGCTTGAAGACCTGACTAAAACAAGGGACACTGTGAAACCCACTGACAACACAAAAAGGTCTACCAAGGGCAGAGAAGTAAATTCCTTCGCAACTCAAGGAACTGATCAAAACAAGATCTTAAACGTCCAGAATCAGGGCAAGAAAGAACAAGCCCGTCTGTTTTGCAAGGAACATCATCATTTAGACAAATATAAGAAGTTTGCTGAGATGCCCCTCAGAGAAAGGAAGGACTTTTTCTTTGAGAAGTTTCTGTGTTTTGGTTGTGCTTCTAGCAGACAACACCAAGCAGCATCCTGTAAGAACAAACTTGTGTCGTGTTTGTTCTGCAATACATCCAACGTGTCTTCACCAAACGAAAGGTAATGCTGAGGTTATTTCAAACTGTACAAATGTTTGTACCATCCCAGAGCAAGAGAAACGTTCAGATCATGCCATGATTGTGCCAGTGTGGGTTCGTCACATAAGTAAACCCAGTCAAGAAGTTTTGCAGTATGCAGTACTGGATGACCAGTCTAATGTGAGTTTTGTGTTGCAGAGTTTATGTGAGCAGCTGGACTTACAAGGATCACCTACGGACTTGTTGCTGACAACAGTCCAGGAGCGAAATGTACACACACCAAGTAGCCGAATATGTGGACTTGAAGTGTTGGACTTTAACCGAGAGTATGCTGTGAAGTTGCCTATGTTATTCACACGAGATTCCATCCCAGCAAGTAGGTCGCAGATTCCAAAGGCCAGTGTTGCCCAGGAGTGGGAACATCTACACCCTATTGCCGATAAGCTAATGCAGTATGAACCTGATGTTGAGATCTCTCTGCTTATTGGAAACAATTGCCCAAGTATTGTGAGGCCCCGAGAACTTGTCGTTGGAAAAGATGATGATCCATATGGTCAAAGATCCGTCATGGGATGGGGAATAGTCGGCAAGGTTTGCAAGTCTACAAATGAAAGTGACAAGAGTGAAGCAGTGTGCAATAAAATAGTTATCAGTGAAGCCCATGAACACTTTGCCTTTTCAACCAAGGTAAAGGAAATTATCAACCCACAAAGGATTATCAAGGTTCTGGAGTCGGACTTTGTAGGTTCTACAAGGAGCAAATCTTATTCAGTGGAAGACAAAAGGTTTCTCTCAATTCTGGAGAACAGTATTGTAAAGAGAGCAGATGGTCACTATGAAATGCCTCTACCCTTGAAGATGGAAAGACTGTCTTTATCATACAATCATCAGCTTGCTGTTAAGAGATGGCACCAGTTGTTAGCGAGGTTCAAGAAAAATCCCAAGTTTCTTGAAGATTACCGAGTGTTCATGAAGGATGTGATTGACCTGTGTGCAGAGAAAGTACCACCAGACCGTCTGAAAGTTCAAGATGGAAGGATTAACTACGTGCCCCACACTAGAGTCTATCATCCAAGAAAGAAGGACCAAATCAGAGTGGTCTTTGATTGTTCTGCACAGTTTGATGGTTTGCCTTAATGACCACTTATTACAAGGTCCTGACCAATTGAACACTTTGCTAGGAATCGTGTAGATTTAGACAAGAAAGACTGGCATTTATGACTGACATCAAGAGTATGTTTCATCAGTTCATGGTGTCAGAAGAACATTGGGATCTATTAAGGTTCCTGTGGTGGGAAGATGGAGATCCAAAGAAGGAAGTTGTTGAATACAAAATGAAGGTACATCAGCTCCCCTGGCTGTGCCAACTTTGGGCTGAAGAAAGCCGCAGATGATGGTGAAGCTGAGTATGGCAAAGAGGCCGCGGAGTTTATACGAAGAGACTTCTATGTGGATGATGGTCTCAAGTCAGTTCGCACGGTTGAGGAAGCAGTTGCCTTAATAAAAGCAAGTCAAGGCACCTGCGCCAGGGCAGGACTTAAACTGCACAAGATCATATCAAACAAGAGAGAAGTTTTTTGAAGCATTCCCAATTGAAGAACGTGCTCAGAGTGTTAGAGTCAGATCTAAAGGTCGACCCACTCCCCTTGGAGTGTGCCTTAGGAGTGATACGGTGTGTGGAAAATGACAGTTTCCAATTTCGTATTGAAATGCACGATCGTCCCTTTACACGTCGGGGCATACTTTCAACAGTTAACTCCATTTATGATCCCAGTGGTTACGTAGCACCTGTGACATTAAAGGGAAAACAAATTCTTCAGCAAATGTGTCAAGACAAGCTTGATTGGGATAGCCCAGTTCCAGAAAATCTGCGTTCCGAGTGGGAGAAGTGGCGTCATGATGTCGTGAGCTTAGAACAGTTGGAAATTCAAAGATGCTTTAAGCCAGAGAACTTTGGAGAGATTCAGGTGTGAGAGTTGTATCATTTTTCCGATGTGAGCCTTGAGGGTTATGGACAGTGTTCATTGCTATGCCTCGTTAATGAAAAAGATCAAGCTTAGTGTTCATTTGTCATTGGCAAAGCTAGAGTTGCCCCGCTGAAGCAGCTTACAGTTCCAAGGCTAGAGTTGGCCGCAGCCACCGTTTCAGCCAAGATGAACGAATTTCTCCATCAAGAACTTCCCTACAGAGATGTCAAAGAGTACTTTTGGACGGATAGTAAAATTGCCCTTGGCTATGTCAACAATGACGCTAGGAGGTTTCACCTGTATGTTGCTAATCTTGTATAGCAGATCAGAGACCTCACAAACCCTAGTTCATGGATGTATGTTGACACAGAAAGCAATCCTGCGGATCATGCATCTCATGGTCTTACCGCTTCACAGTTGCTGCAGGGTTCCACGTGGTTATTCAGGCCAGAGTTTCTTTGGAAAGAAGGTGTCTTCAAACCCCTAAAGGAGGAAGAGGTTCAAGTGAAAGAAGATGATCCTGAAGTGAAGAAAGGAAACGTCTTCATGTCTCGTGTGGATAGTGCAGCTACTCACTAACCTGATCCATTCAAGTTGGACCGTTTAGCCCACATATCAAGCTGGTGGCATCTTCTGAAGGTAGTTGCCTTGTGTCTGCAACTCAAGTCCAAACTGAAAAGCAGAAAGGTTAAGTTGAGCGAACAAGAGAATGCAAAGTGCGTTAGACCATTGCCAAAGGCATCAGTTACGTTTACAGAGTTTCAGTTTGCCGAAAAGGAAGTCCTCAAGATTGTTCAATGAGAACATTTCTATGAAGAAATCCAAGTTCTAGTGAAGCTTAAAGTGGTTGGAGAAGCATCAACTAGAGAATTATCAAAACAGAGAAATCAAACTATCAAGATGTCCAGTTGTTTGTACCATCTGGATCCCTTCTTGGATAAAGATGGCCTCATGCGTGTCGGTGGTCGCATCAAACGAGCCAATCTTCCGGTTGTAACAAAGCATCCAGTAATGCTTCCACGGAAGAGTCCAATTACGGATTTGTTAATCAAATTCTGCCATGCTAAGGTGAACCGCATGGGAAGAGGAATCACTCAAAACGAGTTACGACAGAGAGGTTACTGGATAGTCGGTGGTTCTTCAGCCATGTCAAACTGCATATCACAGGGTGTGATTTGCAGAAAATTGCGTCGTCCCCTGGAGACTCAGAAGATGTCAGACCTACCTATAGATCAAGTTGAACCGTCGCCACCATTCTCATACTGTGCTGTTGACTTCTTCAGGCCCTTTCTAATCAAAGAGAGAAGCGAAGTAAAACGTTACGGGGTCATATTTACCTGTATGGCAAGCAGAAGTGTACACTTGGAGACAGCCAACTCCCTAAACACCTCTTCCTTTATGAATGCGTTAAGCCGTTTTCTCAGCCGACGTGGCCCGGTGAGACAACTACGGTGCGACCAAGGGACAAATTTCGTTGGAGCATGAAATGAGTTAAAGGCAGCCTGGAAATGGATCAAGTGCAGTTGCAGGAGTACCTTGTGGAGAATGGCTGCAAATGGATACCATTTCAGATGAACGTACTTCATTCAAGTCACATGGGTGGGGTATGGGAACGTCTTATACGAACAGTTCATTGCGCATTGGAAACTCTACTTGTCATAGTGGTACCCAATTGGACAATGAGGCGTTCAGAACCCTCATGACGGAAGTTGAGAGTATAGTTAATTCCAGACCACTCTCTGTCAATGACCTGAATGATCCAGAGGCACTGGAACCTCTAACTCCAAACCATTTGCTCACTCTAAAACAGAAACTTGTGCTTCCGCCCCCTGGTAAGTTCCAGCGAGCAGATCTATACTGCCGTAAATGGTGGCGTAGAGTACAGTACATGGCCAACCAGTTTTGGTTTAGGTGGCGTCGAGAGTTTCTCCAGAACCTGCAGTCACGTTGCAAGTGGATGCAACCAAGGCGGAACATAGCTGTAGGAGATATAGTGATATCCAAAGAAGACAATGGACCACGTAACCAGTGGCTGCTTGTCAAGATCATCGACGTCTACCCAAGTCAAGATGGTTGTGTCAGGAAAGTCAAAATCTTGAAGGCTGACGGAGAGCTTGATAACCAAGGAAGACATCAAAAGCCTCCAACAACGTTGGAAAGACCAATTCACAAGTTGGTTTTACTGTTACTTTGTGATGAGTCAAGATGATTCCCTCTGACAACAGTGCAGTGACCGGGGAATTCCCCATCACGGAGCCAGATGTTAAACGAAACTGTGCAAGAGAACAATATAAGTGAATGTTATCCTTGTTTAGTTTACAAGTGACTGTTGAAGAACTTTGTTAAGGTTTAAGTAATTGTCAAAAAACAATTAGGGGAGCCATGTGGCTGCAGTTCAGCCAGATTGTGTATCAGCGGACATTCTTCAAGTGCTAGGTAACAGCTCACTAGTCGTGCTTTCCGCCATTTTGTGTTTTCACATCGCATGGTGCTTAGATGTAAACAAAATCGTTTTCCATCGGATCGTGTCATGTGTTACCGAAGACCTAAACGGTGAGAAACAGTTTTTTGTATCTTTTGCAAATTGTTGTTAGTCCTTTTCTTGGCTATGTGTTAGTATATAAGTTTATTTCTTTTCATTTATGTCATCCAGATTGTTATCTTGGGTAAATCGTTCATCTGTGTAATTCAGTGTTAAGGAAGCAAATTGAACGCCAAGCATTACTCGCTACCTGTGAATAAACATCGTTTTGGGTTTGAAACTCTTCTGGTGAAGTTACCTAGAAGCAGCCACATTTTGTCTCTTCATTTATTCAACTTTGAATAAACGATGTCTTGAAACCTGATCTCGTGTCTGTGGTTATTGCACATATGATTTATTTTTGAACTTTCACTTGCTCTGAAATATTCCAAAAAACGCCGGGAAATTAGGGGTGGGTTGCAGGCAATTTCATGCAGGCATCTATGGGTTAACTAGATGTCAATGTGGAATTTTATCCTTTATTGGGTCTAGCGGACATTTAAAATCCCCACCTAGATGACGTTATTGTCACTTTTGAGCTCCACCTCACATAAACTTGACAGATACTGAAAAAATTTAACTGCATCAGCATCTTTGTTTGGGCTGTAAACATTAACCAGAAAATAGTTTGTGTCATAAATTAATGCTTTTAACAGTAACATTCTTTCATTTAAATCTCGAAGCTCATGTTGAATAACGATATCTAATCCATCTATAATTAGCACAGCAACACCTCTGGCATTAGCACTTCCATTTGAGAAAATAATTTGTAAACCCCATTCTTTCTTTCATCTACTTTTGGTAGTTGTTAATGAGTGTGTCTCCTGGAGGAAGATTGAGTTAACTTTTTGTTTGCGGCACCAAGTATAAATTGCTCTACATTTTTGGAAGTTGCTAGGGCCTCTCACATTGAATGAAAGCAATTTCAGGCTGGACAGCTTAAATGTGAGATTTGTCATCTTTTGGGCACATGTTTTGGTGTTATCAAAAGTTGAAAAACGAAATTTACATATATGAACTTCTTAAACAGAATCTGGAAACTACAGGAAAAGTGAAATTTTGTAAACACAAAACAAAAACAAAACATACACCTACACGGAAGTGTACTTACCACAACCTCTGTACCCAGGTTGCCTGCACACTTTCACCACGATCGCCCTCTCTTCTCCCTTTATAACATTATTTAAATACAGATTAAGCTAAGCTAACTTTGAAAGTAAACAAAAAGTACTAGATTCTCAAAACAATATAATACCAATGCCTGAAATTGTTCTTTTGATTGGATGAAGGACTTCAACTTCTCTGTACCATCTTCTTTGTAAACAAGACACACTAGATTTACAAGACAATATAATGGCAATGTCTGGAATTATTCTTTTGGTAGCATAAAGGACTTCAACTTCTCTGTACTGTCTTCTATGTACAAAATCTGAACTGGGACGCTTTATGGCATGAACACAAACTGGACATGTCTTCTGGCGTTAACTGCAGGAAGGTAGTCTCTCCTCAGCTTTGCTCGCTCCTTACCTATGGTCTTTGACACATCTCAAATGAACAGCTGTGAATTCTTGTATTTCTTATCTTTAAGCTTGCTTAATGCCGGCTTAAGAATAAACACTTTATCAGTATGTCTTATAAGAGGGTCAATGGCATTCTGTTTATGTTTGTTATATGTACTCTCACGACTTCAACTTGTCTTTCAAAAGTCATTAGACCTTGAAATATGGCAACCCTGATATATCCTTCCATTCAGGTGTGAGCTCTCTCACTGCCTTCTTCCATGCCCAAATAACAATGTTGTTACATTTCGTCCAATTCTCCAGGTCTTCAATCAACCCTTTTAAAAAGGCAGTCTCCATACGGTCCACTTTCTCCTCAATTTTTAGCTGTGAATCTTGTAGACTTTGTTTTACACTGATGACATCTTCAACAATTGTGCCTTGAATTTCTTCCAGCTTATTCAACTTCAGCAATATGTTGTTCTTCGCCTTGAGAAGGGTGTCCATCTTGGTTAACAGGTCATCAAGTTTCTGAGAGTCTGAACTGGCTGACATTGCTCTGGTTGTAACATTCATAAAACCAAATTGTTTGCTAGCAAAGCTTCATGTACACTGTTCAAGAGCAAAAAAAGGAGGAAAGAAGACAGAGCTTGGAAAAAGCTGCTTAACCTTGTGGAGACGTGCACTCCCCAGAAAAATGATATCGTACTTTCATTCATTAAACCAGGTGCCACCTCGCCAATTCAATGAGCTCTTTGGAATGCGATATTCTCTACGTTTTCCAAATCCTGCTCTTCTTTGAGAAAGGTGTGCATCACACCAAATGTATTCTCAACACCAGTAGTAGATTTGGGGATTCCAAAGAAACACAAGTTTTTTCTTCTATTATGTACCTCTTGATACAGCAATTTATCCTCAAGTTCTTTAATTTTATTTTCATTCTCCTTGTCTCTTTTCTTTAGCCCCTTGATTTCTGAGTTTTCAAACTCCGTTCCCTTTCAAATTCTTTTGTCTTCTCTTCAATCATTCTTGATTTCTCACTAATCGTGTTCAATTCAGGTTGAAGGCTGTTAACCAACCTCTCAAAACAAGAAAAACACTCAAATATACCTTCGGGTCTGTAGTCTGTTCTCCACGCTTGCAAGTGTTTGGCAGATCATTTCCAGTTGTGAGGCAATCCTTTCTGTCATATTTAGTGCTTCCAGCACTCAGTCGTCTTTGCCTTTGTCACTTGCTGTGTTTATATTTGGGCCCAAATGTAGGCTCTCACAGATCTTTTTCCCCTCTGGAGGGGAAATATCACTATCAAAACTCAATCTCATTTTCCATTTATAGCATTGGGCCATAGACTAAGCATGTGGACATGAAATTTTGTAATTTCGACCAAAACAGTACAGGAGTGAAACACGTACATCGTCACTTGCACATGTTTGCCCCACGTTCTTCTTCTTGCCACTATTCCAAACTAGCTTGAAGTGATTCTTTTTTCATTTATGTAGTTTATTCGCTTTGTTCAAATATTTTTTGGAGTCTTATTCAGCTACTACAGAACCGCTGAGAAAAGAACTAAATGGCCACTGATTTAACACAGTTGAAATATGACTGATCTCAAAATAATTTGCTTGTTTTTGTCGTCTTTTTGATTTACGACTTTCATCTTTCTTTCGCAGCGCCGTAATATGTTTGTCGCGCGGCGAAGAAATTACTTCATTTCTTGTTTTCAGATTGATTTTTACATGAGTTCTTCCCTTTATTTTTCGTTTTGTTTGGCTCAAATATTAGCCGTCATAGTACAAAAAATTCAATTCTGTTGTATTTGGTTTCGTTTTTCTCCTCCAGAGTCAATAATTAACTCATTTTCGCAAGGTCAATTTTCTCAGCTTTTGTGGGACATTTTGTCACGCGGTAAAGAAATAATATAATTTCTTGTTTTCTCATCTTTTTGCTGATATTTAATATTTTGACCCTTCATTTATTCAACTCTAAATGATGTCTTGAAACCTGATCTTGAGTCTGTGGTTACTGCGCATATAGTTTATTTTTGTGCTTTCACTTGCTCAGAAATATTCCAAAAAACGCCAGGGAATTGGGGGTGGATCGCGGGCAATTTCATTCAGGCGTCAATGGATTAACTGTAGGTTAAATGCTGTTTCACTTTTGCCAATGTATTGAAGTTTGCAAATGTTGCACTCGATTATGTAAATGATCCATGACGAATGGCAGTCCACTGCATGAAATATGGTAAAATTCTTCTTGTTGTTGGGACTAGTGAAAGTTGTGGCCTGGTTGATCTTATTGCACCAACTACACTTCGTTCTTTCACATGCTCTACACCCCTTTGGTATCAGATTTTGAGGTGTTTAACTTACAAATGTTGAATGCACAAGTCTGTCTCGTAGACTTTTCATTCGTCGGTAGGCAACTAAAGGTGGTTTGTTGAATATGAGCGATAGTCTTTCTTCTGATTGGAGAAAGTTCCAATTTTGTTTAGCAATTTCTGCAATGAATGTGGTGACCAGAGGGAGTTGGTCTGTTGCTTCACGTTCTTTGGTCTGCAAGCATTCCTCTTGAGTCAATGTAAGCACTTTCTGCATTTAGTGGAGAACTTTGCGTTGTGCATAACCACANAAAATTTATTGTTATTGAACTTCCTTTCGGATTTCTTTCATTTGGTTCCCTGCATTTGGGAATTTTAGGTTTTAAAAGTGAACAGTAACGTGCATGCTGGATTTCTGCACATTTAATTTATGGCGACCTCCAGAAGCTTTGTTTATTTAGTTTATTCCCCTCGTTCAAATATTTTTTGGAGTCTTATTTAGCTACAACAGAACTGCTGAGAAAAGAACTAAATGGCCACTGATTTAACACAGTTGAAATACGACTGATCTCAAAATAATTCGCTTGTTTTTGTCGTCTTTTTGATTTACGACTTTCATCTTTCTTTCGTAGCGACGTAATATTTTCGTCGCACGGCAAAGAAATTACTTGATTTCTTGCTTTTAGATTGATTTTTACATGAGTTCTTCGCTTTTATTTTTTGTTGTTTTCTCAAATGTTAGCCGCTATAGTACAAGAAATTCAATTCTGTTGTATTTGGTTTCGTTTTTGTCCTCCAAAGTCAATAATTAGCTCATTTTCGCAAAGTCAATTTTCTCAGCTTCTGTGGGACATTTTGTCGTGCAGTAAAGA